TATAGAAATATAAACTATTTTAATCGGACGACTCACAGGACTTCCCTTGATTAAACTTTTTTTTATGGATATTTGAGTGTTTTAACAAAATCAGAATTAAGTGATCTTGAGCTCATTGGATTTGTCTCGCAGAGATGCTCTCTTCGACTATGAACTCACCAAATTTGACATTTATTTGACTTTTCAAATGTGCTCGCAAAAACTTTCAAATATGGTTTAACGTTTTAATCAGTGCTTAATTTGATTCGGATTTGATCAATTTTAGTATCATTGGGTCATTCTCGTCGAGCCGGTCAGTTCGATTGTATGTTCGCTTAAATCTTAGCTCTGGATAACTTTTAAACATATTTTGAAATTTCTTTCCTCAACAAATTGGTTCAAGATCTGTGCACTGCATCAAAAAACATGCTGGATGATGAAAATTTGTTGATGGTGTATCATTAATATCTTAACTTTTAAAAAATAAAAAAAAAAGTTAAAATGCTATATATGTGTTTGTATTATATAAGCATGTTAGGTTAATATTTATATTTCTAACAAATTTAATTTAAAATGAGTATAATATTTATATTTTAGAAAAATAATTATATTATATAAGCATGTTAGCTTGCATTCACCTTAACATAAACAAAGAATTTTGAAATCCACTAATTAATAATTTGTTAGGTTTTTTTTTAAATTGTCATAGAAATCCACTAATTAATAATTTGTTAGGTTTTTTTTAAATTGTTTAGGTTTTTTTTTAAATTGTCATACATACATATGTGCATACAAAGTTACGGATCCTTTCATAATTATAATATTCAAATACAATTTATTTTCTTTATAATGGATGATCTTAATATCATTAATAATAAAAATAATAATTCGTTTTTATCGTCGCATTAGTAAAATTTAGTTGATGAGGCTTTAAAGAAAACCAAGGGTACAAAATTTGTAGAATCTGATGATATCCCAATTGAAGTGTGGAAATATTTAGAAGATTTAAGAGTTCCTCAACTAAACAAATAATTTAATATTATTTCAAAAACTAAAAAGATGACTGGGAGTGAAGAAAAAGTATTTTGGTCTCATTTTTAAGAATAAAAGAGATACATGAGAGTATGCATATTGCAAATTAATGAATTCGGTGTCATACTTTAAAATTATGGGTGAGTGTAATTGAAGATAAGTTAAGACATATTACAAAGTTTTCTCAGAGTCAATTTGGATTTTTGCCCGGCAGGTCTACTATTGAAGCTATACATTTATTGTGATGTTTAATGGAGAAGTTCAGAAAAAATAAGGAGGATCTAGATATGATTTTATTGGTTTTGAAAAAAAAACTAATGATGAGGTTCTAAGAGATGTCATTTGAAGAATTATTGGAAGAAAGTTGTTGGTATGACTTATATTCAAGCTATTAAAGATATGTATATAGAAACTGTTACTTGTGTTCGAATAGAAGAGGATTCATCAAATATTTTCATATTTTTCTTGGTTTACATTAGTGATCAAATATTTTCTTATCTTTTTGCTTTAGTTATGGATAGTCTTATTACACTTATAGGAGGATGTACCTTGGTGTATGTTTTTTGCTGATGATATTCTTCTCGTGGATAAGGCAAGAGAAAAAGCTCAGAAAAAACTTGAATTATGGAGGTCTACCTTGGAGGATAAAGTTCTTCATTTGTATAGAACTAAAACTGAATACATGGAATGTAATTTTAATAGCAGTTAGTCCAATGATAGAAATGCAACTATGGGTAATCAGATTATTAAAAGGTGTGAACGCTTTAGATATCTCGAGTCTATTGTCAAAGTGATTGTGATATTGATGGGGATTTTATTAGTAGAGTTCAAGTTGGTTGGTTGAAGTGAAGGAATGCTTCGGGACTATTGTGTGATAGAAAAGTACCACTTAGACTTAAAGGAAAATTTTATAAGATGGTAGTGTGCAATGTTATATGGCACTGAATGTTGACCTTTAAAAGAGAAGTATAGAACTAAGTTAAGTGTTGTTGGGATGAGAATGATTAGGTGGATGAGCGGCTTTACCCTTAGAGACAAAATGTGAAATGAATATATTTGTGATCGGGTTGGTGTAGCTCCAAAGATGGAAAAAATAAAAAAAAGTCGTCCTAGAGGGTTTGGTCACATTAAATGTTGGCCATCTCATGATCTGATTAGAAGAGTAGATGTTTTAGATTCGACTTATGTTAAGAAAGGCAGAGATAGACCCAAGATTCGACTTATGTTAAGAAAGGCAAAGATAGACCCTGAAATGCTTAGACATATTGTATAAAAATGATCATAATTTATTAGAATTAAATGAAAATATGACACTAAATAGGACACAATGGAGAAAAAGGAATCATGCAGCTGACCCCACTTAGCGGGATAAATGTTTTGTTGTTATTGTATAATAGATGATTATTATGTATTATTAAATTATAAAAAAAAATTCCTTACACTTGTAATATATATATATATAGAGAGAGAGAGAGAAATGTACATATGTATATCTGTATAGGTATGTTTGTAAATCTTCCTAAAGAGAAATGTAGTACAGAGAAATTTAATCATATAACAAGCATTCTATTAACTTCCTAATCACCTCACATACATTATAAAATGTTTTCTTCCATAATTAAAATAATCAATTATATATAATTAATAGTAATCATGATGATTAGCACATGATAACACCCATGTTTTTAAAAGGCGTTGAAGACTTTATTATATCGTTTGGTAGCAAAATACTGTATTTAACTAAGCATTCATAAATTAAGAAAATAATAATAAAAGGAGCATTTACATACATACCACACAATTCCTATGTATTTACATATCTAACACTTAAAATTTAATATTTGCATGTATATATAGATAGCAGGTAAATCTTCAGTATCACATCATAATAACACTAACATCAACTTTTAAAATGTTCATGCCTATAGAAATTATCAGATCAAAGATTTGCGACTGTTGAATTCAAAATTGTGTGGGAGACACACCAAAGGAATAAAACACTGTAGAAAAAAGAATGGTAGAGAGAGAGTGAGAGAGAGAGAGAGAGTAGTGATGAACGGTAGAAGCGAGTTTATTCGATAAATGATCCTCATTTATAAGCATAGAGGTACAAATATGAGATTACGTTTATGTCACTGTTTCATCAGGATAATAAGGGCTAATTAGTAAATCTCAGGTATGAAACTAATG